CGCGACGGCGACAGTCGGGACGCAGGGAGGGGAGGGACGTCGGCCGCGCTCAGCGCTCGGGCAGGGGCGCCCCGCCTGGCCTCAGTTTCCCCTTTAAGTTAGCGATCCAGCGGGCCTGCGAGTGCGCGCAGGGGAGGAGGCTTCGGCGCGCCTCCGGAGAGGCCGTGTCACCTCCGGGAAGATTCCGAGCAGAGCAGCCCTAGTGTAAGCTAAGTCCGGGGAAGGCGCATGTGGCTCCCGCAGCCTCCGGTAGTGAAGTGAGTGTGCCAAAAGGAGAAGCATCCTATGCAAGCGTGTAAACAGTGTGTGCTTGCTTACAGCTAGTGGAGAAACGTGTGGCGTAACTATATAAACGTGAATGTGATTTTAAATGTCAGTTTACACAGAAACCTCATAAAACAATAATTAAAATCCATGATTATTCCTTAAGTTCGTGAATAAACAAAGTAGCATAAATAAGCGTATTATGTAAATTAGAAATGTATAATGTAAAATATATAACATAAATATAAAGGTGTACAGAACAGTAACAACGACCCTGTGGAGCGTGAAGATTTGGTTACTGACAGCCCTGGGCCCCTGATGGAGGCTGGGTACCCCTGCCACCCGGCCACAACACCCGCAGGCAATGGCGGCTCGGCAGGTGTCGTTCATTGTCACTGATTGCCACTACCTGCTGACAGTGGTAAGGGACTCTTCTCTCACTTAAAATCACCTGCTAGTAACAAAGTGCCTGCGCTGTCGTCTTTATTTATTTATTTATTTATTTATTTTGTCTTCTTACATCAGTAACACGTTACACACTGTAGCTCGCTAGGGTCCGTATTGAGCATGTGTTTTATCATGTACGTATTACATTGCGCGCACTACCACTGAGCCCATATTTCATTCATTTTTATTGCTTACAATAGAATAATAGAGCGTGAATTGAGAGTACAGGGGTGGGACTGACAGGCCTCCGCCCGACTTCCATCCCAGTGCTTCCTAGGGGGGACCTTGGCCGAATCGCCCAGTCTCGAGTTCAGCTTCTGCGCCTGCGCAGGGAGGACGACAGGCCTGGTGGTCTCGTCTGTAGGGTCCCCGCCATGGGTACACGCTCTTAGCGTGGGGACCGGTCCGGAGCAGGCTGTGCACTGCGGGAGTCCGCGCTGACCTCCCCGGGCTGTGTGTTCTGTATTCTTTGTGTCCTACGCCCTGACCTGGCTCCTCTCCTCTTTTCTCCTCCCTGCTCGCTCACCCTGTCTCTAGGACATCCGAGCCTGCTCTGCCGCCTGGAGGACCAACAATGTGTGCTCCGCCGAGGCAGGCAGTCTGCCTAGCAATGTGAGGAAGAACCGCTACAAAGATGTGGTGGCATGTAAGTAAGGGGCTTGGGCGGAGCAGGCGCCTCTGGGCACACGCCCAGCGCCCCGCGTGGGTGCGCTCCCCTGCCAGCTCCCACGCCCTGTTCTCCCAAACTCCTAAGTGTCTCACCTTACCCCCTGGCAGATGATCAGACCCGAGTGATCCTCTCCCTGCTTCAGGAGGAGGGCCATGGGGACTACATCAACGGCAATTTCATTCGGGTCAGGCTGGTGGTCAGGGAAGGGGGAGGACAGGGCACGGTGAAGGTGGGTAGTGGCACCTTCACAATAAATGGGCCTTTCTCAGGGTGCAGACGGAAGCCAGGCCTACATCGCCACACAAGGACCCCTGCCTCACACTCTGCTGGACTTCTGGCGCCTGGTCTGGGAGTTTGGGGTCAAGGTCAGACTTGGGAGAAAGAGAGGGGGCATGATTTTGAGTCTGCCCATGGTCCTGTTTCCTCTAACCCAAGTCGCCACCTCCCCTAGGTGATCCTGATGGCATGTCGCGAGACAGAGAATGGGCGGGTAGGTGTCCCCCACCCCCAGTGCTGTGGCTGTTGCGGGAGGAGGGCGGTGAGAAGGGATCTTGCTGACCCTAGGACTTGAGAGCTCAGGTCCTGAGTGGTCTCACAGTGGCCCTGTGACAAGCCACTGTTGATCTAATTTTGCCTCAGTCTTTTTCCTTTGGTTCGTGGGGCTGACTCGCTCTGCGCCTGCTGGGGTTCCCAGGCAGGGTACACTACAGAGGGTAAGGCCCGACCGACTACCTCCTCCCACTCCCTGTGACCACACTGGCCTCTGCTAAATCCTGAGGTGAGCCAGCAGACATCCTGCCCGAGGCCTGTGTGCTGCCCATTCCCTCAGCCCAGGGCTCCTTCTACTGGCTCCTTCTGGCCTTTCCTCTCCTCTCCGAGTCCTTCCCAGACCTTGTAGCGCTCACTCACCACCCAACTCCTCTCCTCTCTCTCCAGTTTTCTTCCTAGTGCTTCCAAACTTGTAACATGCTGGATTGTTCCAGATACAAAGTACACTCAGTATACACTGTTATTTCTGCTTTTGGTTGTCTATAAAGAAGGGCTTTATTGAAATACAGTCCACACAGGGAAAGCTCATGACTCATAGTTTTTAGTGTTTTCTTGAGTTAACAACCGTCCCCACAAGAAAGTTTGAACATTTCTGTCATCCAGTCCCTAGTCACTCCCCTTCTCCAGCCACTTCGCACCTGGGCCACCTCAGCACACTTCAGTTCTCTACAGATTCTCCTACCGGGGACAGTTCATATCAATGGGCTCATATACTATGTGGTCACCTGTGGTGGCTTCTTTCACATCACATGCTTTTTAGATTCATGATATTGCAACATGTGTTAGTCCTTCATCTACTGTTACTGCTGACTACTATCCCTTTGAGTGGATGGACTACACTTATGCATTAGGCAACTTATAGAATTTGAGTTATGTACAGTTTACGCTTTTATGACTAATGCTATTGTGGATATTCATATATTGGTCTTTGTGTAGACATATCTTCATTTCTCTTTGAGTATTACTGAGCAGTGGAATTGCTGGGTCATAAGGGAACTCTGTTTTTAACACTTTGAGGAAATGACCACCATCCCCCATTGTGCCCACGTCATTTGTCATTCCCTTCAGGAATGGGTGAGGATTTCAGTTTCTTCACATCATCATTTGTTGTCTGGCCTTTTTTTCGAGCCATGCTACAGAATATGCATCTCATTTAAAACTTACGTGAAAATACACATCAATCTGTTATTTAACCCTGAAAGCGTATGACCCAGCAGCAGCACGCACGTCTCGGTGTTGTGCAGACGACATCATTGTCCGTTTCCAGAACATGGTCAACATCCTGAATACGAGTTCTGTACTCAGAATTTAAATAACAGCTTCCAAATCCTGACCACTTCCTTTGTTCTCTGCCTTTATTAATTTGTCTATTCTAGGTACATCCTATGAATAGAATCACATAATATTCATTATCTCTGATTTCTTTCACTTAGTGTTTTCAGGGTTTATCCTTAAGAGCTGAAAAATATGTGTCACATTTTGTTTGCCTGCTCATCTTTTTTAATTTTTTTAATCATTTGTTTATTTTATTTATTTATTTACTTGGCACAGGATCTTACTACACAGCTCAGACTCATAGTGGTCCTCCTGTCTCAGCCTCGGATTACTGGCATGTGCCACCATGCCTGGTTTCAGTAGCCAGCACAGTGGCATGGCATGAAGTACCAGGGATTGAACCTGGGTCCTTGTGCTTGCCAGGCAGGCGTTTAGACCACTGACTGTATGAGACCCCTCCAGGTTTTTGTCTCGGTCCAAGAAGTTAGTATTTGTAGTCCCAAAGATACGTTATTGGAATCCCACTAAGTTAATTTCAATCTACCTCTCCCAGTGCAACACACGGTGAAAGTAAAGGCCACTAAAATGTATTTATAATTATTAGGGAGCCAAGGGGCCCTAAGTCTGGCCATGAAGATGGTTTTTGAGAACAAAGAGGCTGACCCAGGGCCTCACCTGGTTTTATTCAGTGGAGGAGGAGAGGCTTGAGGAGGAATGACCGAGAATTGTGGGAAGGAGGTGAGCACTGTGAGCTGAGCTAGGTGGGTGGCCTGCATTCACCTCTGCCATATGCAGAGACAGTAATCTGCATTCTACTATCACGCCATAGAGATAGTATCTAATGTTTTGGGGGTCTGGTGCTTCAGCTCTGATGTAGTCTTTCAAGCCCCAGGAAGTCCTAGCCTCTATCTCGAGGCTTGATCCCAGCTGGCACGTGGAGCTTTGGCTCTTCGTCCTGTCTCGACCCGGGTCACATCAAAGAGCAGCAGGTGTAGGTTACCAGGGAAACACACACGCCACCTTCAAAGACTATCACCAGCACCTCAGCTGGACCAATATACATTGCTTAAGGCCAACTGAAGGATAAACAGGAGTCCAGCCAGCTCTGTACAGAACAATATGAGGAGATGGGGTCAGGCTCAGTCAGAATGGAGACAGTCGCTCTTCTTTCAAGGAGAGCTGCTCAGGTGGTCCTCCACAGCTGAACAGCTCCCCAGCCCCTACCTGCTCATCTTGATGGATATTTGAGTTGTTTCTACCTGTTAGCTATTGTGAATAATGTTGCTTATGTGTACTGATAAAAATCTGCTTGCATCTCTATTCAGTTTTTGGGTATGTGCCTAAGGTAGGATTGCTGGATATATGACAGTTCTGTGTTGATGTCTCTTTACAGTGGCTACTTCATTTTATATTCCCAACTGCAGGGCAAAACATTGAAATTTTCCCCATATGCGTCAATGCTTGCTGTTTTTTCTACACTTTCCATTAGCAAAACCACTCATTGTGGTTTGGGTTCTCATGTGCTTATTAACCCAGTTGTGAATTGTCTCCGGAGAAACATTTGTTCAAACCATTTGGCTTCTTTTTTTGAGACAGGGACTTGCTGTGCAGTTTAGGCTGACCTTGAGCTCACCTTGTCCCAGGCTGGCCTGAAACCTGTGGCAGTCTTCCTGGGTCAGCCTCCTGAGCGCTGGGACTATGAGCACCTACCACTACGCCTGGCCTTAGCAACTTTTTAATTGAGTTACTTCAGGTTGTTGTTTTTATTATCAAGTGATAGTAATTCTTCTGGCCACATGTCCCTTATAAATACATGGCTGACAAATATCATTCCCATTCTGGGAGTCGTCCTTCACTTTCTTGACAGAATCCTTTGAAACCTATGTTTTAAAAATTTTGATGAATTACAACCTATTTTTTGTTTATACTTTCTGTTTTATGTCAAAAACATTATTGTCTCTCTAAAATTATAAAAATGTGCACCTATACTTCCTCCTGTTTTATACTGTTCTCTCTTAGCTTTAGATCTCTGATCCGTTTTATTTTTTGTATGTGACATGGAGTAGGCGGCCAGGTGCCCTCTTGCGCAGAGGGCACCCGCTGGCTCCAGCACAGCTTTGTGTTCTTGGCACACACGCACACACCCCGCAGCTTGGGAGATGTGCATGATGACAGCACTCAGCTGGAGGAGTTTGTGCCGCCTGGACAGGGTGTCTCTTGCTTCTCTCTTTCCCACTCCCTTCTACTCCCCTCCACGCCCTTCCACTCCTCATTTACAAAAGCTTGGTTTCCATCTTTTCCATTCTCTAGTTGTCTTGCCCCTTCTTTTCCACTCCCCCCTCCCTTGTTACCCTTCCAATTTGCCTATTTTCTTCCCATTTAATAATATTTACTTGGGGGCTGGGGAGATGGCTCAATGGAATTAGCGCTTCTCTGGCAGGCGCAAGGGCCTGAGTTTAATCCCCGGTTCCGCCACAAAAAAAAAACATAATAATAATCATAATATTTACTGTACACTTTGCTCCTTATCCACACTGTCGGTTCCTCCCCCAGACGTGTGTGTCCCATTTACTTAAGAGTGTGGTCTCAAGGTGCATCCATCACCTAGACATGTGTCGGGCTTGTCCTTCCTTACGGCAGCGGCTAAAACCCCACTTCTGTATCCATTCATCGGCTGATAGGCATTTGGATTGTTCTGAAGATTTAGCTCTTATTACAGACTGTGCTGCTGTGCACATGGATGTGCCTATATTGCTGTGGTATGATGCTTTTAATTCTTTTTAGAAGATACCAAGAAGGGGAAAAGCTGGGTCAAATAGACCCTCTAGTTTTAGGGGATTATTTGAGAAATACCCACCATGATTTCACTGGTAGTTGCACCAGTCTACAGTCCCACCAACAGTGGAGCAGGATTACTATTTTCCCACAGCTGTCAGCATTTATTGTTGGTTGATTTCCTGATAATGGCCGTTCTTCCTGGGGCGAGATAAAATCTCAGCATTGTTATAATTTGCATTTCTCAAGTGACCAGTGATGTTGAATATTTTATTATGTGTTTTTTTCTTTTTGTAGTTCTTCATCTGAGAACTATGTTTTTATGTCAGGTGTCCATTTTTGCCTCAGGTCTTTAACTTTGGGGATTTTCATTTTTTTTTAGTTCCTTATATATTCTAGATATTAGTCCTTTGAGGAACAAGGACTATTAGTCAAGACTATTAGTCTTGTAAAAATATTTTTCCATAATATGGGTTGTCTCTTCATTCTGTTGTTGGTTTTTCTTGCTGTGTAAAGCTTTTTAATTCAAGATCCTACTTGATTCTTTGATATTTCCTGTGTGATGCAGATTTTGTTCATAAAATCTTTGCACCTACATCTTCAAGAGTTTTATCTATTCTATCTTGAAACAGATGTAGTGTTTCTGTTTTAATATTTAGATCATGGAACCATTTCAATTTTAGCTTGGTGCATGGTGAAAGACATGGGTTTATTTTCAGTCTTCAACATGTAAAAAGCCAGTTTTTCCAGCATCATCTATTAAAGAGGCTGTCTTTCTTCCAGGGAACATGTTTAGTTCCTTTATCAAAGAGAAAGTGGCCAGTTTGTTTGGAGTTGTTTCTGCAAATTTTGTTCTGCAGCATTGATCCTTGAGCCTATTTTATTTTATTT